GCCGCCATCTTGGCTGACAGTTAATTTGCATATCTCCCTGATTAGCCAATGGGAAGGGTAGCGGTCGTACGCCAATTACCATGTTTCTCTTTTATTAGTGTAGATAGCCTAGTACAGTGGTCAGCAAACTCATTAGTCAGCAGAGCCAAATATCAACAGTACAACGATTGACATTTCTTTTGAGAGCCAAATTTTTTAAACTTAAACTATATAGTTAGGTACATTGTTATTAACTTAATTAGGGTACTCCTAAGGCTTAGGAAGAGCCACACTCAAGGGGCCAAAGAGCCGCATGTGGCTCGCAAGCCTCAGTTTGCCGACCACGGGCCTAGTACGTGTAGATAGCATTTCCCCCAACATTTATGAATGTTAAGAATTTAAGTAATTTATGAACTTATGAAAATGTTCAAACATATAGAAAAACTGAGAGATTTTTAGAAGTGAACCCCAGGAAAGCCAGCACCTAGATCCACAGTTGTGGGTCCCTGCTTCTTGGCACATCCACCCAGCTCTCCACTCCAAAGGCAGCTGTGGAGTCAGTCAGTCCATGCAGGCGACCCACTCCGCCCTAGTCTTTATGGCTCAATGCAGTAATTTCATGTTTATTGCAGTCTTGTGAGAACATCTATATGATGCTAGGAGCTCAATAAATGTCTGTTGAATAAGAAAAAGAACAATTATAAAATCTGTGTTTGAAACTTTTGTACAATAGAAAAAGTTTTTTTTTTAAATATATTTTATTGCTTTTTTACAGAGAGGAAGGGAGAGAGATAGAGAGTTAGAAACATCGATGGGAGAGAAACATGGATCAGCTGCCTCCTGCACATCTCCCACTGGGGATGTGCCCGCAACCCAGGTACATGCCCTTGACCGAAATCGAACCTGGGACCTTTCAGTCCGCAGGCCGACGCTCTATCCACCGAGCCAAACCGGTTTCGGCAGAAAAAGATTTTTAACTATGACATATCAAATAATGAAGGTGCTTCCATGTAAGCAATTATTTGATAAAAAGGGTTATGTGGCTTTAAGCAACAAAAACCCATGCACTTACAGAATAAAATAAAAATCTCAACTTGTTTTACTCGGCATACAAAGTCCCCCAATGTTTGGTTCTGCCCACCTCCAAGCCTCTTGCCATTTCCCCCTACAACCAAATTGAACTCCATTTTAATCCCCTAAGCAATCCACCTAATTTTATGTCTCGGTACTTTTCATACACAGATCTGTACACATGGAACAGCCTTCCCTTGAATCACTGCTCGGGCAACACCTTCCCTGACCTTGGTCTTTGTGGTCCTACTTGACCAATTTCTGCCATAGCTCTTGTTCCATTAGAGTCCCTGTTTTTTGTTGTTAATCCTCACCCGAGGATATTTTTCCATTGATTTTTAGAGAGAGTGTTAGAGGGGAAAAGACAGAAACATCGATTTGAGAGAAACTCATCAATTGTGTTTCTCCCCAACCAGGGCCCAGGCAGGAGAGGAGCCTGCAACCAAGGTACGTGCCCTTGACCAGAATCGAACCCGGGACCCTTTGGTCCACAGGCCGACGCTCTTATCCACTGAACAAAACCAGCTAGGGCGAGAGTCCGTTTTTTCTATTAAAATCCAGTGACAGAGCAGTTACTTCTGAAGATCCAATGATGAGTTTTCTTATTTTCTCTTTTTTGTGTACCCGTGTTGTTTTTTAGGGTCATTTGTTGCTTTTATAATAAGGAAAGTAAATATTTGTAACTGGGAAAAGCACTGCAATATGTTGAGAAAGGTGAAATCTGCCCACAATGACAGCCTCCTGACACGGCCCCTACTCAGCCCTGCAGACCGGGCTGCCGTTCTGCTCTCAGCTCCCCCTGCCAGGGGCTGCCACGAGGACTCTCCGGAAGCCAGGTTCACTTTGGGGAGAAGTGGAGGTGGCCCCTGACACCAAGGACTCCTCCCTTCCCTGCACTGGGATCTCTCCTCTGCTCACTGGGGGGAGGGCAGAAACCTAGATTGCAGCATTGCTTCCTGTGGTCTCCGCTCCTCAGACAACCGTCAATTCTGCTTTCTCTCGGCGCCACCCGCTGGTGCCACTCAGCCAGGTAACCCTCCCTCTCCCCACCTGCCCATCTAAGGCACGATGTCCCCAGGGAGACTGTACACCCCATCTCAGCCTGAGGGACTGTTGTCCCCCAGTAAGCCCGTCAGTGGCCTCGCCCTTCAACAGCCTCCCCCTCAGGTGCACAGTACCTGCAGGTCCCTGGGGTGGGGTGGGGAGCCAGCCCCCTCCCAGCTGGCTCCTTCCTCCTCCAGGCCCAAGGCTGTCCTATGCCAGTTGGCTGGAGAGCATGGATCCGGTGCCCAGCCACTCAAGCATAGGTCTCACACGTGTCCCCACATTCTCATTCAGATTCTGGAAAGACAGTCAGTGACGGTGTACATGTTATCTAACAGCCCCCCACAGAGGCAGGGACCACCCACAGTAACATTTGGCAGCACTGAGACCTTTTAATAATGTGCCCTGGCTTTTACCAGGTTCAGGGAGCCATTCAAAAGCTTCCTCTACTTCTGCTGTACAATTTAGAAAATGTCCCCATAGAAGGGCCGTGGGAAACATTTCTTGACTTCTCGTCATTGATGTTTTTCTCTCCCCTTCTCCCTTCCTCTCTCTGAAATGAAGAACCTTTTTATTTAAAAAAGAACCATTTGATGATTTAAACTATGCTCAGGTGTTGCTTTGATAAAACATTTTTAAACAATTGAATGGCACTTACCGTGACTTAGAGCAGCCTTCCCCATGCTCTGCTGGAGGCCTGGAGGCCCAGGCTCACCTGCTGCGGCCCTGGGGCCCCTTGGGATGCCTACAGTCCATAGTGCAGGGGTCTAAGCTCCTGACTGACCTCCTAGCTCCAGCCCTACTCCTCTTCCTTCATCTTCACTCATCCTGGGATTCTCCCAGGGAATCTGATTTACTGGCCCTGCCCCCAGAGACTGATTATTCTCTTTTCCTCCCCCACCCACCTTTGACCCCAAGGCCAAGCAGGAAACAACAGGAAGGAGAGAGAACATGAGAGCTGCTGCCCCGCCCCAGCCCGACATCCCTGCTCCAACAGGTGGTCCCGGGTATGAGCCATTCCCCAATCCAGGCCACCAGGTCCACGCGCCTACCTACATATCCACTGCCTCCTAACTTGCCTCGGCCAACTGAGGCCAACACTGCCCAAGAGGATGCCAACCCCAGAGTGCTGGTCAAAAAGGAAAGCAGTTTGTCACTTAGTGAGAAAGGACAGCCACAGAACACAGAGGCCCCACGAAAGATAGTTTTCAATCAAGCTTTTAATGAAAAGATCATAAAATAACAGTTTCTCATCACTGTACATTAAGACTGCACACTTCTGAATGGAGAGATCAGTCGTAGGTGAGTTGCTTTTCTATGACACTTGAGGGCTGCGTACTTGCAGCTCTGACCTGAATTTATCCAAACTCTCGAGGGAAGTGAACTCAACGTGATGACTGACAGCGGCGGTGGCCAGTACAGGAGTGCGATCACAGTGTCCCTCCCCCTTTCTGGGAAGGACATAAGGTAAGGACATGATCCCTCTTCCAGTTCCAATTAAACAAAACAGCTATAACCCCATCCCTCTCCTTCCCCCTCGAGGTATTTATGAATGGGCCAGTGCCCAACCTGGGGTCCCCCAAGGGGGGAGGGGGAAAGCAAGTGATGGGTAGGGTACAGAGAGGCTCCCCTCAGCACCTGGCCCCACAGGGCCCCGCCAAGTGGAGGGGGGGGGCCTGGAGATCCTCCCTGTCCCAAGTGAGGTCTGTTATGCAGCATTTTTGAGGTCAATAAATTACAGCAATAAATAGCAAATAGGTGAGGTAGGGGGAGGAGTTCCTGGTAGAAAAAGTGGGGTGACTGAAGCTGGGGGGTACTGGGCAGCCTCAATTCCCACAGTGCACACCCACCCCCTCATTTGGAATGTCAGACTGAGGCTCTGGTTAGATCCCTCTCCATCCCCTCACTCCTGGCATCGGATTCACAGGTTCAATAGCGTCTGCCCCAACGTGGCTCTGGGGAAGACCAAGGGCCTTGGTCCCTCAGGGGACAGAGCTGAGATCCCTTGTTTGTTCTCCTAAGGCCTGGCGCCTCTGCTTTTGTCCCCCAAATCGGGGGGCAGGACGGATGCAGTGACCTCTTCCCTGAGCCCTGCCCTTCTGGCTGCCCAGGCCTCACCCCAACTCAGGACGGTTGCAGGGATGGCGGCTGGGGTCTGCCTGCCCAGCCAGCCAGCCCAGATCGCACTCCTGCACTCGGTCAAGTCCAGTGAATACTGACAGGGTGGGGACAGAGGACAGCCCGGCACCGAGTGGTGACTAACGGGAAACACACACATGGCTGCGTGAGGTTCTGAGAGTCAGTCTGGGTCCGGATTGTTCATTCACAGGCTGAGGTGTATGGCTATGCTGCAAGTCTCTGAGATTCTTATTTGCTTAAAGGTTCATCTTTTCTTTTTTGCAACCCTGGACGAGCCCCTGCAGTGGCTCGGTCTGGCAGGAGCGTGCGGTGGCAGAGCCCGGGCTGCCCCTCGCTCGCCCCAAGTCTGAGAAATAAATACATTCATTACTGCACAAACATATTGATACAAAAACAACACTGTTCAGAGTGTTTGCACCGTCTGTGTTGGTAAGGACCAGCCCAGTAAGCCCCTCCTGCTACTGGTGGTGGGGGGGGTCCCCAGGGACCGGGACCAGCCAGAATCAATGGATGTGCAAAGGTCCTGGCTTTTTGGCTTGAGAGGGACCCTCACATCAACCCACCCCAGGATCTTGGGCAGAGCAGAGGTGGGGCTCACCGCCATCCCCAGGTCCAAGCCCAGCCTGGGTCTTGTGGTCAGAGCCGCCAGCACCCCGCTGTGCCAGCTGGCCAGGATGGCCAGAAGGCCTGGGGGCCAGTCAGCACTGGCCCAAGCTCTTTGGTGCCAGCTGGGCTTGGAGTGGCGGGGCTTAGAGTGCCCAGCCCCGCAGGTGCCCTCTGCCGGAGCTCTACCAGGGCCGACTTGGAGGGGCCTCCAGAAGGTTAGGACTTACTGGGACTGGCCTTCCAGCTGCTGAGGTCTGAAACTGTAAAAGTTTATGTAAACAATGAGATAAATATATTAGTATCTTTTTTTCTGAGCCTGTTGAGGTTCCATACTCATTCAAAATGTGCTTTGGTTTAAAAAATAGGTTTTGTGAATTTGGGTATGAGCTTTTTTTTTTTTTTCTTTTTTCTTTTTGTTGTTGTTTATCCTCTTTCCTACATGACAACTGCTATTTTCTGTTTCCTGTTTCACCAAAACATTCAGGAATTAAGTGACTAAAGCAGAGAACTGTAAGCCGCCCTGGGCCTCCAATGGCCTAATTTCCTTGTGAGGCTCTTAACACATTTCCACGCACACTCACAAGCACACGCCACATGAAACCAAAGGAAAAAGCAAACAAAACCAAGTGTGTGTCAATCCCACCCTGCCCCACAAACCCTTAAAATCTTACATAGGAAACTAGTGTTTTGCTTTCTTGTTAAAATACAGAAAAGGCTTGATACAATACTCAGGTGGGTACAATACTATGTCGCACAAACGTCGTTGAGTGAGGGGCCTCTGCGCCCAGTCCCTGAAGCTCTGCAAATGAATCGCCTACTTTCACGCGTCACCTCACGTTTGCGCTGCCCACGGCGGGAGAGGCCACACACAGGCCAGGCATGTGTGCACCTCCCATGCAGTACAGACTTTGTGTCGTGTGGCTTAAGTGCTGACGGAGTGGGGTGGGGTTGGGAGAGCAAAGGGGCCTGCGGCAGGCCCTGCCCCTCACTGACCTGCTGGAACAAGAGACCCTGGGCACAGTCCTCCGTTTCCCACCTAAAGGAAGAGGAGCTGGCTCAGGGCTGCGGGCACTGCCTGAGGGCTCACCCAGAAGCCCTCACCCAGGAGCCCTCACCCAGGAGCCCTCAGTCCCAAAACACACCACTCGGGTCCCTGAACTCAGGCTCTGTTTCCAGCTGGAGGGTCTCTGGAAGGGTTAGGGCTAGGGATGACTCTGGAATTTTTTGGTCTGAACTTAGAATAGAAAGGAAAAAAAAGAAGGAAAAAAAAATGAAGAAAATAAAGCCACCGGCTCAGCCCTGTGGCTCCAGTCGGCCGAGGACAGTGGAGCCAACTTCGGCACCTTGGTCTGGCCTTGTGAGCTCTGGGCCCATGGAGGTGCCTGAGGCTGGTGGAGAAAACCCAAAGTGAGGGGCGAGGGGTGAAACCCAGACAGGGCTGAGCCAATGGGTGGCAGCCAGCCCCGAGACAGAGTGGCAGTGGGCCAGGACTCGCCCAAGTAGGGCTAGTCCCCTTCCTATCCCCCAGAGGGTACACATCACTTTGGTCAGCTCTTCCCATGCCTCCACACTGGCTAGCACTGGCTAGGGGGGCTGCTCCTTTCCCAAGCTCAAGCTCTTGCAGGCCCAGGGAACAGGATAGGGGGCTCACTTCCGCCTCATCCTAGTCCTGGCAAGGAGCTGAAAAGAACTGGCACCCATCTCCCCGTTGCCCAATACCTGGCTCCCCTGGGGCTGGAGCACTCACACCCTCACCTGGCCCAGATTGGAGTTGTGTGGGCTCCCTGGCTCAGCAGACACTCAGAACACCCTCAGGGTGGCCAGGACTAGCCCTGTGCCCAGGAGAACACCCACACATGAGCAGAGACTCCGAAGCTGCAGGAGCCTCACTGAGCGTGATGCGTGGTGGGCCCAGGGCTGTGCACTTGAACGTCTTTGTGCACTAAAGAGAGGAAAGCAAAAGTGTCACTGCCTCAGCTGCCAGTCACCAACTTACTGTTCTTCGTGAATTTCAAGAGGTAGCAAAAGGTCAGAAGTCTCTCCACCTTGTCAGGTAAGGAAGAAGGAAAGCGCAACATCTGTCCACACGCACTGCGCATACCACACACACAAAAGGAAAACGAGAGTACCGACGGCCCTGGCACCCAGTCCAGCCTCCCCCCTCCCCCCTCGAACCCCAGACCTTCCAGTTCAAACACTCACATAAACGTTACACTGGTTTTTCTCTTAATAAAAAACAAGTACCTCTAAACAAAGAAGATTCCTCAGACACTATAGGAAAAGCACTCTCTCTCCTGAGGCAGCCGAGGTGGCTGGGGCCCAGGGAAGCCTTTGGCCAAGAAGGGCTTCTGGGGCCTGGAGGGGTGGGTGCCCCAAGCCTGCAGCCAGGCGGGAGGGGCGAGTGCCCCATACATTCAGTCTGCAGACCCAGGCTCAGCCCCGAGGGGCCAGGAGGAAAATAAACTCTTGTTGGTTTTGGTTTAAAAAACAAAACTCACAAAGAAAAAAGGAACAGATCAGTAGGAATAACAGCAACACCAGCCCAGAGGGCTCTTTAGTTGTGGAGAGGTAGACGGTGAGGGCCCCCCTGGCTCGAGGGGGGGGGCCTCCATCGCCTCCCATCCAGCACTGCTCCCCTTACAGCCAAGGTGGCCCGCACACAGACTAGCACTCCTGCGTATAGGGACACTGCCCCTGGCCACAGGTAGCCCTGATCCTCCCAGCACAGAGGGAGGTCCCCACTCCCCCTGCTCAGACCTGACCTGTGAGAAAAAGGCCGGTCCGGACCCCGTGACCCACTCCCACAGGCCCTATGGTAGACCTGGGAGAGGGGGCAGGGGCCTGGGCGGGATCTGGAGGTAGACTGCACACCCACAATACCTTTGGGGTTCGGGACCCGGCCTTCTTCTGCTCTCTTCCCTTGGTACAGACTGTGGATTAAAGCTCTGGGTAGGGGGGGCGGGCTGGAGGTGTCACCAGGAGCCACCCCCGCTAGATTTGGGGTCCGGGCCTGCCCCCTGGGCCTCCTTACTTCTTTCTTCCATTGTTCCCAAGGGCGAGTCTGCAGAGAGCGCCCCAGGCTGGAGAAGGTCTTTGGCTTCTAGGAGGGGGAAGTGTGCATGCGCAGGTGGCTGATGAGGTTGCGCTGCTGGGTGAACTTGCCCCCACAGAGCTGGCACTCGTAGGGCTTCTCACCCGAGTGCACGCGCATGTGCTCCGTCAGGCGGTACTGGCGGGTGAAGCGCATGCCACACTCATCACAGGCGAAGGGTTTCAGGCCCAGGTGGCTGCGCATGTGGCGTGTCATGGTGCCACGCTGCGTGAACATCTTGCCGCAGATGTTGCAGGGGAAGGGCCGCGTCAGCCAGTGTGTCTTCTCATGCTGTCGCAGGGTGGCCGGGTCCTTGTAGGTCTTCTCACAGACTGAGCACTTGAAGGGCCGGGGCTCAGCTGCGTAGGCTGCACTGGGCGCTGACAGGTCCTCCGCCTCCTCCTCCGCACCCCCACTGCCCGTCTCGTAGGCGCCCTCCTCCTTGATGAACAGCTCCTCCTCTGTGTGCGTCTCCACGTGGGCGTTGAGCTGCTCAGAGCTGGGGAAGCCTTTGGCGCAGGGGATGCACACATACAGGTTGTCCCCATAGGACACTGTCTCGTAGCCTTCCTGCCGGTACATATAGTGGGCGCTGGCGTGGCCACTGCCCCCCTCACTCTCACTCTGCCCGCTGTCCTCACTCCCGTCCTTGCCGTTCTCTTCCTCCTCCTTGCAGGGGTATGGGGGCTCCCTGTAGGGCCCGCTGGGGCCGCCCCCTGCTACACCGCTGGCCAGGATGCCGTTGGGAACCCGGTCCCCAAGCCCTTCACTCTCTTCCCCTGGGCAGGAGCCCTTGGGCCCCACTTCCCTCCGCTCGAAGGGGGAACCTGCCATGGGCTCCTTTTTGCTCCACTCCTTCTTGCGGGCCGAGTGCCGGAGGCTCTTCCGGGGCTGCCCGCCAGGCCCCTCCAGCAGGCTCAGGTGGTTGTCCTCGGGCCCCTCCAGATCCATGGGCTCACTGGGGGTGCCCCCCAGGTCGGCATAAGAGGCACTGTTGGCAACGGGAGGAGCTGAGGCCGAGAGGGGTGAGCCGTGCTGACTGTCACTCAGCTGGGCAGGATCATCTGGGGTGGGGGGGGGACCAGGAGTGGCGGGGGGCAAAGGGGGACTCTTCTTGGACAAGTCCAGGCCCAGCTCCTGCTCGCAGCCCCCACTGCTCCCATTGGTGCTGCAACTGCCCAGGCCGGCCTCCCCACTGGCTGGGCAGACGGCCCGGCCCAGGCTGTGTGCACTCTCCTGATTGGAGCTGCCGAGGAAGAGCTCATCATCCGAGCCTTTGGCCTGGGGGAGCTCCTGGGGGGTGTGGGCCCCCTTGCGCCCATCCATGAGCCCTGGATACCGAGCCTGGATGACAGAAGCTGTGGACAGCCGCTGGCTGCGGGGGGGCCGCCCCATGCCAGCAGCCCCCACCCGTCCAGAGCCGAAAGGCTTGCCGGCTCGCTTGAGCTTTCGACGGCAGAGGGCTGCCAACTCGGGCAGCTGGAGGTAGCTGGCGGCAGTGAGGAGAGTGCTGAAGTTGGGCTCAGCTGGCTGGTCGCTGGGCAGCAGCTTGCCTGTATAGATAAAGTCCAGGATCTGCTGGAACACTGTGGAGCTGACCATGTCCGTGTCCAGGTTGATGAGGTTGTCGTGCAGGACCAGAGACTTGAAGTAAATACTGCTGGCGGCCAGGACATTCTTGTGGGCCCGGAAGATGGAGTTCTCCACCATGATGATGACATCACACAGGAAGCCCTTTGTCCTCTGCTGGTTCAGCTGCAGCAGGAGCTGCTTCGAATGGCTGGGCAGCTCCATGTCAGGCCCCATGTCCCCACGCCCTGCCCACGCGTACCACCTGCAAGCAAGAACAGGCTTGTGAGAGTTAGCTGACCAGGACCCTAGTGCAAGGGCTCCAGGCCTGGGTGGGCCACAGTGGCACTCAGAGAGGCCTCTAAGCTGACCTGGCCATTGGCCACCTTCTCAGGCACAGTACACAGGAAGGGGACTCACACTAGCCGCCTAGCACTCAGACTGCCAGAAAAGGGGCAGCGCAACCGGCCCCATTTGCACTGATGAGAAAACGAAAGCAGGACAATGAAAGTCACTCGATGCCAAGTAGAGAAACTGGGATTGAACTACACTTCACAGCCCATGGACCATCTGCACACTAAAGGAAGCCAGCCACAGGCCCATAGGGACCTAAAAATGACCAGCAGAGGATTCTGAGGAGCTGGGAAGCGGCAGGGACTGAAAGGAGCAGAGCTCTGAGCCATGCCCCAGCAGCGAAATCTCCCAATATTAAATGAAGGTTCTTTTTCTTAAATGCTCTGTGAGCCAAACCAAATGTGCAGCCTCCAGTCTGCGACTTCTGCTTTACGCTGGGTGCCTCTTGCAAACCCTACAGGCCTCCCAAGCTTTCAGACTTGCCAAGGTATGTCACCACCTCCCAGACACTGCAGCCCACAGGCAGTCCCTCACCTGCCCACTGGAGGCATAGAGCACTTTCTGGTCTGGGTCTCTGGGTGCTGAGTAAAAAATGTGGCTTGGCCACACCACTGCACCACATGGGCCCTACCCTGGATCCTTTCTGGGCAGGGCAGCACTGTCTGGGCATGGGAAAGACAGGCAGCTGGCCTTGATAGACTGGCACAGTCACTAACTGATGTCATTAAGTACCAAACAGCAGAAGCCTCTGGCCTCATCAGGAACCCAGCAGGCTGGTTGTGTGGCAGTGTGATCACCATATGCCCACCCCAGAGTGGAAGGGCCCACAGCACAAGGTCGTGGCTCCCTGCGCCCTCCAGCCGCTCAGGGAACATAAAGCCTTCCACAGGCAACTCTGCTACACAGTTGTCAAAGGTACCCTCAACCCTTCCACTCAGGGCTCAATCTCTGAAGTAACTGAGTGCTCTGAGCCTCACCTCACCTGGGACCTCCTGCTCTTACCAAGGCACTCAGCTCTGCCTCCCTCAGGACAAAGCCTAGAGGGATCACGCCCACCCTATCTCCCTGTGACACAAATACCACCACCACCCCCACCTCCCCCGCCCCCCGCCCCACACGTGCCCTTGTTTGCAAAGATTAATTTAAACAAAACAAAACCTAGCAACCACTCAAACCCCCCAAAAAAGCATCAGAGCTTTCTGTGAACACGTGGGTGCCAGGCTGCACCCAGGGCCTGACAGCAGGAGGCAGCAAACACTTGCTAGACCAGCGGTTCTCAACCTGTGGGTCGCGACCATCGGAAAACACATATATAATTACATATTGTTTTTGTGATTAATCACTATGCTTTAATTATGTTCAGTTTGTAACAATGAAAATACATCCTGCATATCAGATATTTACATTACGATTCATAACAGTAGCAAAATTACAGTTATGAAGTAGCAACGAAAATAATTTTATGGTTGGGGGTCACCACAACATGAGGAACTGTATTAAAGGGTCGCGGCATTAGGAAGGTTGAGAACCACTGTGCTAGACAATAGACCAACCTGGCCCTGCAAGGCTGCTCAGTCGGAGGCTGGAGCCAGGTCCTATGGGAACCAACCTTCCCCTACTTCCTGCCCCACAGCCAGCCAGGCAGGGACAAATTGCCCAAGGCATGGCCTCCACATTGGCCGGAATACCTGGCCCCAGGGAAATACAATGTCAGCTCCACCAGCACCCAGATGCCTGTGCTCCAAGCCTGTCAAAGGGACTGGTGAGAGCAGGAGGTCCCATCCTCCAAGAGCCTGTGAGTCCACAATGAGCCCCTCCTCCCCAAACCAAGGACAACGGGCCCAGCCTCTCCTCTGAGCTGCCCAGTGCTGCCTGCACACAAAGGACGCAGGCTGAGAGCTGCAGGGCTGTGTGGGCCTCCCAGAAATCCCCCAGCAGGAGCAGGTGGACGATGCCCTCCCTCCCCAGTCTCCCTCCCGCTCCCCCACCCTGCCAGCTCCTTGTCCCCAGCCTACCGGAGTGCCAGGGGCCCAGAAACCATGTGAGCAGCAGCGAGCAGGGGTGGCCTCCTTGAGCGCGTGGCCTCCCTTGAGGGTGCATCAATGCCCGGTCACCTGGAGAGAAGATGGAAGATGGAATGGACATGGTCACCCAGACAGCCATCAGGGGAGGGGCGGGGGGAGACAGTGAAGTAGAAGGTGCCTGGTAGTCCTTGAGCCCTTGTTCCCAAGATGGTCAGGGGGTTTCTCTGGCTGGAATGATAGGGGCAGCCAGCTGGGAAGGAGACAGTGGCCATAGGACCCTGCCGACAGGCCCAGTGGTAGGTTAAGATGGCAGGTCTAGGGAGCTCAAAGGCACTGCACTGCTTCCCACCCAGGAGCTTTAGGGTACTCCAAGGGCCACCTCAGCCTTGGGAGCTGGGAGCAGGCTCAAATTCATGGCAGGCATTTTTTTTAAATATATTTTATTGATTTTTTTACAGAGAGGAAGGGAGAGGGATAGAGAGTTAGAAACATCGATGAGAGAGAAACATCGATCAGCTGCCTCTTGCACACTCCCCACTGGGGATGTGCCCGCAACCAAGGTACATGCCCTTGACCGGAATCGAACCTGGGACCCTTGAGTCAGCAGGCCGACGCTCTATCCACTGAGCCAAACCGGTTAAGGCCATGGCAGGCATTTTGACAGGAGGCCTGGGCAAGGTCCTTCCCAGGCCGGCCATATTTACATGACAAAAGGTCAAAATTGGAGGCATTGGTGCAATGGGCTATTTATAAGAACCAGTCTCAACTGCTTCTGGCTCTCCTGCCTCCTTCCCTTCCAAATCTGCTCTTGCCCCCTCCCTGCCCAGAGGGCCCAGCCCCTCCTGCCCAGCCCAGCCTGACCACATGGCCTCCCCTTATAGGAGTTTCCGAAAGCTTGGCCTTTCCATACCACCCTGCCAAAGCCACTGGCAGCAGCTACCAGATGCATGTGAGCTGCTTCTGCCCCCAACTTTTCAGGTCCCACAAGAGGGGGGTCCTGAGGTTCTGGCTCCTTGTACACCACTCCAGTGGGCAGACCAGGGCTCCCTTGGAATGGAGCCAGGGTGGGGGAGGAGGCCTGCAGCAGCTTGGAGCCCATCCCTGCCTGCCCTTCCCCCGCCCCCAAGGCCAGGGAGGTTCAGCAGGTCCCTCAGGAATGTGACCAGACCCGGGGGTGCGGGTGGCTGGGAGGCCTCAACTCCAACCTGCCAGCTGTCTCTCTGGCCCCTAGCACAACTCCCTTCTCACAGAGGTGGCCCAGGGGGAGGGGGACTCAGCTGGTCAGGGTGGTTGGTCTGGGATCTCTGATGACCCAGAGAGCAGCAGAACCAGCTCTGTAGGTACAGCTGCTTCGTGGAGTCCAGGCTCCCCCCAGCCCCCATGAGGCCAGAGATGGATCAGTGGGACAGAGCCTGAGGCCAGAGACGACCAGTGGGACAGAGCTGAGCCCTGCCTTGGGAAGGAGAGCAGAGACCACTGCAACACTGAACAGGAAGCCACAGCCAACCAGATGCTCACCACACAGCCCTGTGCCACCTGCCCAGACAGACCATCCTACCCAGTGGCTTCCACCTCAGCATGTGCCAGACCCTGCAACCAGGTTACTTGCCCTTGTCAGAGACCAGGCCAAACTACTGGGCAGCTCAGGGAGTGGGTGGCAGCACAGGACTTGGGACTCTCCGTGGGTCCCCGCTGCCCAGTCCTGCCAGGCACTTCACTAGCCTGGGGACAGCTGAATGACTGACCAAGGTCTCCTGGGCTGGGTCAGATGGGCTGGGTCAGACATGACTCCTCTGGTGCCTGACCTCACCACAGGGACGCTCAGCAGAAAAGAGCAGAGCCAACTCGCTGCACCCTCCACTAGGTGGAGCCCCGGGAGAGTTGGCTGCATGATGCTGTCCTGCCACCCAGACTGGGCCAAGTGTGGGCCACCACTGTCTACAAACAAAGCAACATCACCAAAGAGGCAGTCCTCCCCGCTGCAGGGCCAGGTCCCCTATGAACCACTGCTCTTCTCTTCCCAGCAAAGTGACGACAGCCAGAGACCTCTGCCCTCCCATTTACCTAGGAGGGTGGGGACAGGAAGCACCCATCCTAGAGAGGCCACAGCCTGGGGAGTGGAGGTTGCCAGGTTTGTAGAAGCAAGACTGGGGGCTGGACCAGCAAGCTGGCAGCACAATGGCCCACTGGATCGAGGGGCTGATGCCCAGCCTGGCAGGAGCCCACTACAGGCTAGGATGAGGACACGCCTGGCCCCCAGCAGCCCCCAGGAGTAGGCCCATGCAGTGCCTATCTGCCCCAGGTCAGGCCGCTACCCAACCAGATCACTGGCTCCAGGAAACCTAGAATCTGGGGTAAGGGGGACAGTCAGGTACTCCTCTATGTCCTACACCTGGACCATTGCAGGTGGGTGGGTAGGTGTCCCCAGGTGGGCTGACCCTGGCAGGGACACAAGTCCCTGGGGGCCAGCTCTGCCATCTTGGAACAAAAAGTGTGTGCGGGAATGCAGAGACCTGCCTGAAGACCTGGATCACCTTCCCCAGGTCCTTGTTTACAGAATGGTCATTCTCCACCTACTCAACAGGGCAGTTACACCATGAACTGGGACAGGTCCCTGCTAAATTCTCATTTCCTTTCCTCCCCGTCCAGGCCCGTGCCACAGAAACGTCAGGGAGGCATTCTGCCTCCTCATCACCACCACCACCACCCG